GTGCATAGACCGGCGCGTGGACTGCCCAGTCTTCGCTGCCGCTGGAGGATGCGAATGCCGCGGGGACGACTGCGACTGGCCGGCCTACGTCGTCAGCTCCTGTCCGAAGTCGTGCGACATGTGCGGCGCGCAGAGCAAATTCAAGCCGTGGTGGGTCGACTCGAGCGAAGAGGACTCCAGCGAGGAAGACTCGAGCGAGGAGGGCGGCTGGAAGCCCTGGTGGAAGGACTCGAGCGAAGAGGACTCCAGCGAGGAGAGCGGCGAGAGCGGGTCCAGCGAGAGCAGCGAAGGGGGCTCCAGCGAGGAGAGCGGCGAAGGGGGCTCCAGCGGAGAAAACGGTAGTGGGGAAAATGGCTCCAACGAAGAAACAGAAGCTCCTGAGACTAAACCTCCTCCCACAGCCGCCCCTACAACGCGGCCACCTCCCCCACCCACAGCTGCTCCCACAACGCGGCCACCTCCCCCTCCCACAGCCGCCCCCACAACGCGACCACCTCCCCCACCCACAGCCGCCCCCACAACGCGACCACCTCCCCCACCCACAGCCGCCCCCACAACGCGACCACCTCCCCCACCCACAGCTGCTCCCACAACGCGGCCACCTCCCCCACCCACAGCCGCCCCCACAACACGACCACCTCCCCCACCCACAGCTGCTCCCACAACACGGCCACCTCCCCCGCCCACAGCCGCCCCCACAACGCGACCACCTCCCCCACCCACAGCTGCTCCCACAACGCGACCACCTCCCCCGCCCACAGCCGCCCCCACAACCGAGGAGCCCTCCAAGCCCGGGAACTGCGGCGTCGACTGCTCCCAGGGGCAGTATCACCCCCACCCCAGCGACTGCCACATGTTCATCCAGTGCACCCCATACGGCCCTCAGGAGATGCCCTGCGCCCCGGGAACCGTGTGGGACCAGGACCTCTTGACCTGCAACCACGAGGCCACGACCCCCTGTGTCACCGCTGAACCTTGTGTCAAAAGTCACGGTAAGAACTGGATTTTGTTGCGAATATTCAGTCTCTAATTAGCATGAATCTCTGAATTGTCAAACTGCTGACTAACAAGACTAACATCTATTGTGACTGATATTCTTCTTCTTCTTCTTCTTCTTCTTTTCCTCCTCTCTCTCTCTTTCTCTCTCTCTCTCTCTCTCTCTCTCTCTCTCTCTCTCTCTCTCTCTCTCTCTCTCTCTCTCTCTCTCTCTCTCTCTCTCTCTCTCTCTCTCCTTCTCTCCTTCCTTCCCTTTCTCGGACTATAATTTCACTCAGCATTCACCTAAACGTACACCAATCCATAATGCTGTTTCCCCAACCGCCACCTAAACATCCTAATAAAAAACGTCCAATTTCATTCTCATTCCCTATCTCTCTCTCCCTTCTACGCAGACAAGCAGTGCCGCAAAGGAAACGGACGGTATGCCATCGAAGGGAAGAAGACTGAATATTACCTCTGCCACTTAGGAGTATCGTATCTCCTTCACTGTCCCAATGAAGGTACCTTTAACCCTCGCACTGAGTCCTGTGTCTATAAGGACCGTACTGCCATTGGGAAGGTAGTCCCATAGATGGCAAGAAGGGGTGTAGTTTGAGTAAGAATATTAGTAGGAGTTAGTTCAATAAACTGTAATCTGAGATCTGTCTTATTATCCTTGACTGTGATGTATCATTATTATTGCTATTATCATTATCATTATTATTATCATTATTATTGTTATTATTATTATCATTATTATTATCATTATTATTGTTATTATTATAATAATGGTAATAATAATAATTATTATTATTAATTATTATTATCATTATTATTATCATTATCATTATTATCATTATTATTATCATTATCATTATTATCATTATTATTATCATTATTGTTATTATCCTTATCATTATCATATTATTTTTCATTGTTATTGCAACCGTTATTATTGTTATTATTATTAGTGACTTTATCATTATTGTTGTTGTTGTTGTCGTTATTTAATATCAATATTATTATCATTATCATCATTATCAATACTATCATTATCCTTATTATCATCACTATTATTATTATTATTATCATTATTATTATTATTATTATCATTATTATTATTATTATTATTATCATTATAATCATTTGTATTATATTTAATTTTATTACTATCATTATCAACATTATCATTATTATTATCATTATCATTATCATTGTCATTGTTATTATTATTATTATTATTATTATTATTATTATTATTATTATCATTATTATCATTTTCGTGGTTGTTGTTGTTATTATCATTATTATCATCATCTTTATTACAATCATTATCATTGTTTCCCTAATGACAACAATAATAATAATGGCGCCAATTGCAATCGTAACAATCAACATAAACAGATAAAAAACCTTAGAAATGTTATACGTAATTTGTGAAGAAATAACGAATGGCTGAACATTTTTTTTCCATTTCACTTTTACGATAATTCTCGACCACTTTATTTCTCTTAGATCTAAAATAAACTTTTATATGCAACAGAAAGGTGAATATATCTAGAAAATATTAAGAAATTTGTAGTTAATATCTAGAAAAGGAAATGATAAAATGTGTAGCTACCACCGAGTGAGTAATTATTTGTAACATCATAGAAATTTGATATTGTAAAATGTCTCTGTTTATTACAATCTTTACCTGATTACACTTTTTAACATCATTAATTACGTAAACATACGAGATGAAAATAAAGGAAATGGCATAGAAACAGGAATTAATTTGAAAAGTTTAAAATCGATAATATAAAAAGAGATGGAATATATAAATACGCATGAAACTTTTAAAATGTGTAGACGATTGTGTACAATTATGTAGATATGTGTACCTATACATCTAAATAAACTTGTGAAAAAAGTATAAATATTTGTTCATAACGGAAAAAGTATGTAACCATTTGCATACGGTGTGAAGAAAACGCAAAAATAACATGTAAAATTATAAAAATACATGTAAATATGTATGAAAAATATAGAGAAAGTTCAGAGGTAACTGTGTTCTTAATCATTTGATATTGATCTGGTCTCTCTGAGCTTCTGATCCTTCCCGTCTTACTGCAGTGTCTTATCTACAGTTGCATAAATATTCCTAATCAATGGAATTGTGTTTTACATAAGTGTTGTAACAATAACTTTTATTGCATCACAACTTACTTTTTGATTTGCGAATCTTGTTGATTTTATATTAATGTGTTTGTTGTCTGTTGACTCCCCCTTCTCTTTCTCTCTCTCTCTCTCTCTCTCTCTCTCTCTCTTCTCTCTCTCTCTGTCTCTCTCTCTCTCTCTCTCTCTCTCTCTCTCTCTCTCTCTCTCTCTCTCTCTCTCTCTCTCTCTCTCTCTCTCTCTCTCTCTCTCTTCTCTCTCTCTCTCTCTCTCTTCTCTCTCTCTCTCTCTCTCTCTCTTCTCTTCTTCTCCCTTTTCTCCTTCTCCCTTTTCTCCTCTCTTTTTTTTCTCTCTCTCCTTTTCTCTTTCTCCCTTTTTCTCCTCCCACTTTCTCTCTTTCTCTTTCTTTATCCTTCTCCCTTTTTCTCCTTCTCCCTTTTCTCCTCTCCTTTTCTCTTCCTCTCTTTTTTCTCTCTCTCCTTTTCTCTTTCTCCCTTTTTCTCCTCCCACTTTCTCCTCTCTCCCTCCCCCCCTCTCTCTCTCTCTCTCTCTGTCTCTCTTTCTCTCTCTCTCTCTCTCTCTCTCTCTCTCTCTCTCTCTCTCTCTCTCTCTCTCTCTCTCTCTCTGTCTCTCTCTCTCTCTCTCTCTTCTCCTATCCCAACCCACCACCTCCCACTGCCTTCCCTATCCACCTTCACACCTACCCCCCCCCCTCCAATCCACCATCCACCTCCTTTCCTTCTCCCAATCCACTTTCGCCTATAACACCCCTCCCCCCCCTCCGTGCAACCAATTTTCTGCAACCGATTAACCAACATCTCTTCTTTCACTCCTCGCTTCCACTCTTGCCCCCCCCCCCCTTCTATTTAACCTCCCTCCCCCTCCCCCTCCCCATCCCCATCCCACATCTATCCTTAACCTCCCCTCCCCCCCTCCCCTCCCCCTCCCCATCCCCATCCCACATCTATCCTTAACCTCCCCTCCCCCCCTCCCCTCCCCCTCCCCATCCCTATCCCACATCTATCCTTAACCTCCCCTTCCCCCCTCCCCTCCCCCTCCCCCTCCCCCTCCCCATCCCACATCTATCTTTAACCTCCCCCCCCCCCCCTGGAAGCCTTCCATCCACCAACCCTCTCCTGCTCAACCCCCCCCCCTTCCCCCAATTCCATTCTTTATCCCTTTACTCTCACCTCCCCACCCCCTCCCCTCCCCACCCCCTCCCCTCCCCTCCAGTAACCTAACCCCCCCCCCTTCTTCCACCTCCGACCCACTTCCACCCTTACCTTTTTCCTCCCATCACAACCCCCCCCCCTTCCCCTTCTCCCTTAACCTCCAACCCCCCCCTTAAATACCCTATAACCCACCATCCACCTTACCTCAGTCACCCACCGACCCCCCCTTCTCCCCCCCCCACCCCTACCCCCAACCCACTTCTCCCCTCCCCCCTCTGCAACCACACTCCCTCCACCCCCCCTTCTGCAACCACAATCCCTCCCCCCCCCCTGCTACCAGACTCCCTCCACCCCCCCCTCTGCAACCACACTCCCTCCACCCCCCCCCTGCTACCAGACTCCCTCCTCCCCTCCCCCCTCTGCAACCACACTCCCTCCACCTTTCCCCCCCCCCCCTCTGCAACCACACTCACTCCCCCCCCCCACAGGATCCACCATCCACCCCATCTCAGTGACCTACCGACCACCCCTTCCCCCCCTCTCCCCCCCCCCACCTCCAACCCACTTCTCCCCCTCCCCCTCCTCTGCACCTACACCCCCTCCACCCTCACCCCCCCCCTCAAGACCCACCATCCACCCCAGCTCAGCAACCCACCAACCTCCCCCCCCCCACTCACCCACCCCCCACCTCCA